TTTATTTCACACCCAACCGCTCCTGCTTTATATTCAGTCTTTGTTCACTCGCAGCCCACTTATGGTCCATTTCCACTGAGTGGTCTGATACGGTGCGGTACGGTATGGTTCGGTACGCTTTTATGGTTATTTCCACTGTCGAAGGGTACCTAAAAGCGAACCGTACCACACTATTTTTTGGTCCCCTTTTGCAAACAGTATCAAGAAAGCCTAACATCTGTTCACAAACCAATTATTTCTGAACTGAACTGTGAGTGCATAAAATATTTCAAAAGAAAAGTTCTACCTGAAACAGGGCTGATCACATTAGGCCCTAATCTGACAGCATTCATTTTCGAACCCAACTACACCATAAATGAATAAACCTGTAGCCCTATAGTCAGTAAAGTCAAAAAGCTGTCCTGCTGCCTGATTTGCCAACTACATCACTTTCATTTATGTTTTTTTATTTTTTTATTGGCTGCATAGGGGAATGTGGGTTTGGCTTGCAGTTGTGACAAAATTGTAAAATTAAAGAAATCTTTCCTAATACCAAACATGACCCCTGGCTGAGTCACTTGTCAAAGTTTTGACTACAATCCTATTGGATCTTAGGGTGTACTCACGCTAGGTTATCAGAACTGGGCCCAGGCACAGAGTGGTCACTCACAAGTGTGAGTGCTCCAAATTGGGCCCAGGCATGGTTCAGTTGGCCGACCCTGACCTGGTTAGAATAGGTGTGCCAGAGCATGATTCAGTTGGGCTTTGGTGCAGTACGCTTTTAGCGTGAGTGCAAATCGTGTCTGAGCATGAAACTGAGGACATGACATCACTTTTAAGGAACTATTTCGAACTAATTTATTAATCATTCTTACTTTCAATGAACAAGAAATTTCATAGTTTATTAAAGATACAAACACCTAACTGGACAGCTCGTTCTGCTGCTTGACATTGCAAACTGATATTTTCTTTTTGTGTTATTCTGCTTTATATGTATAGTCATGAACACACTTGTCTGTAAAGCAATCGTTTAATTATTTATAGCCCTTTATTATTCTTATAGTCATTTCTCTCATAGGCAACTGAATTGGAAGTTATAAGCCCCTTTCACACATACAGACCTGTGTTGTATGTGTGAACAGGTCCTTTTTGAAAATACCGGTAAATTTGTTCTGGCTATTTTCCGGAAAGAGAAGTTGTAACATTACCGGCAATTTGCCGGAATGCTGCGCTGTGTGAATGCAGAAGGAAGATTGCCGTAATAAGCGCGTGCACGTCTAGAACGTGCTGACATAAGACGTTTGCTTTAGCCAATCACAACAGTCAGACGCATTTACGTCCGCGCAGTTTATGGGAATAAAAGCCTTTGAATATTTTTCCAGACACATTTGGCTGCTAGAAGTTAGTCAGATCACGTTTATATGTTCTTCTTAATGCCAACTGTGTAAATAATCATCAAAGAGATGCTTATGATAAGCCATTGTTTGTTTACCTTTAAGCTTTGCGTGTGCCTGTGAAACAGCCTGTGAGCGCCTGCACACGCACATATTATGAACATCTTGACATGCGAAAGTGATCCAGCGAAAGTTGTTCACAATATTGATCATCCACAGAGTTTGCAATTTAGTCAAATATTTACAAATACAAGTGCAGCCGTTTAAAGCTCATTTGTAGTGAATGATGTCAGAATTTACCGGTATTTTGGAATGGATGTGTGAACGTCTTCGCCTGTGTGAACAGCGCTTTTTTGAATATACCGGTAAAGTCGTTCCGGAAAATTTCCAGATATTTACCGGTATCACTGTGTGAAAGGGGCTATAATGGCCCATTTCCACTGAGTGGTACGGTTTGGTATAGTATGATTTGGTACGGGTCACCTTTATCAGGCTTGTTTCTCGACTGCCTAAAGGTACCAATAGTACCCTTTTGGTGAGCGTGGTGTACAACACAAAGTTTCAGTCGACGTTATTCTCACTCTAGAAAATGTCAAAGTTAAGCTGTAGGGGTTGTTCACATATCATATGAGAATCACTTCTCACAAAACAGATGCTTTATAAACATAACTGCTTGTGAATAATTGTTCATTACTAATCTTTTATGAACATGATTTGATTATAACTGCGGGTCATAGCCTACTGTAACATCTGCAATTATATAAATAAATAAATAAATAAACAAATAAATAAATAAATAAATAAACAAACAAATAAATGCAACATATATGAACACACAGACGCTTACAATCTATGATGTCACCAATTACAGTTAAAAAAAAAAAAAAAAAAACTCCACACAGCATACATTTTGTCCTTATTTGGGTACAAAAACAACACACAACATATAGCCCAGTAAGTGCAAGCCTCTCATCTGTGTCTTCACCAGCACATGTAACCTCTTAGTCTAAAAGGGGATGAAAATATTTAAACATGGCAGTTTGTTCATCTTTTAGTTTGCTGAATCATTTACTCCTTTTTGAGCCTCACACTCGCGTTTGTCAGTTTCTGAAGGGATCAGATGTGAAAAGCACTTATGTTATTTTAAATATATGGAGAAAGCAAAACCACTTTTAGATGGCTTTGTAAAGAACAACAGGACACGGCAGATTCTTCTCTTGTTCTTGGCTTTGTGGCTATTCATCATAAAGTCAATAGATTTAAAGTGATCTTGAAGACATCTGACCCAAAGACTGGGGCTGCGTCCGAAACCGCCTACTACTAAGTAGGTACTATGTGTAAGGTACTACGCCTAAGTAGTAAGTCATTTGGGTACTTCTCGCATACTGATTTTCGAATTCTATGAATTCGGACATACTACTCGGCTCGCATAAAGATTTTAGCGTACTGTACAGTACCTAACAGTTTCATTCTGTGCTGTTTCATTTTCCATGGTGGTGTTGATAAAGGAACTCTTTAGAATGTAATACAAATCTGTCAGTTGTTGCCTTGATAACGCAAGTGTATTTTGAAAAACAGTATGGACAACGACCATGATGCTTTTTAAAACACTACAATTGGGCTAAGGAAAGGGCATGAGTGGGTCAATTGGTGCTTTTTAAAACACTATTAGTAGGGTTTAGGAAAGGGGGAGGGTGGGTCAGTCAGTTGACAGTGGCCTCTGGTGGATTTATTTGAGAACAGAAGGCGCGAATAGCACTTGCGAGAGAAATTTGAGGTCTGAAAAAGTGTACACAGTAGCAGAAAACAAAAACTGCACAAAAAAAAAAAAGAAAAAAAAAAACCTTGCTCCTGGGGCATATTTCGCTCTCTGCAGAAATGTATATAGGGGTACGTAACCATAATGAGCTTGGGATGAAAAACACTGTATTGAAATTTGTACTGAATATATTGTACTGTCAAATCATCATACAATAATGTTGATGTACTGTAAGGCTATGGTATTAATGCTGTATTGAACTTTACTAAACTGAACATTTTGCTTGTTTATTTGTATATCACTACATACAATATAGACAGTTTCAAAGCAGCTGTACTGAAATAAACGAGAAAAACATTAGTTTCAAAGTTCAATGAAGCATTAATACAAGAGCCTTACATCAACATTAACAAGAATGCAGATCAAGATGACGTTCTATTGTCAGACTGGCTGTCTCATTTTTCACCCAATTAATATTTTATATTCTCATTCACACCATCTGAATCAAATATGACAGGCAGCTATGGATGGCCTCTGAGTAGATGTCCACTGAAAAACCCTGCCGGCTGAGAGACGCATCTAAGAATAACCCCAGATAAAGCTGCGTCCTCCAGCCAAACAGCCCAGAAAGCAGACGTAACTCGCTCTGACAGGTGACGTCCACTATCAGAAACAAACTAATCAGCACTGACGGCACTTTCATTTGACCGTCCTCTTCTCTCCAACACCCTTCACCTGTTGGAGCCCTCACCCGAGTCCTTCGCTTGAACCTTAGGTGAGCGTTTTTTTTCTCCACTGGGTGGCTCAATTAGATTCTCTTATCATAGCACGGAAGCCAGGACTTGGTGAACTGTTAAATTAAATTTGCCCCTAAGCTGTAGTAGAATTCCCTGACACAGCGTTTAAGTGGTCTCTAATTCCCTCGGCTTGTTAATGTGGGCTGCGCTGGGGTTTGACACTTGCTGAGACGGGTGTTCTGAGGACGCATCTCTCTGCTCAGGCAACACCTGAGATTCTGGGATGTCCTTTGAAACTTTAAAAGATGTATTCCAAAAAGACTTTTATCCCACAAGATTCAACCTAACCTGAGGAATAAAATATGGAAATATGCTATTTAATTATTATTATTATTATTATTATTATTATTATTATTAAATCAACATCATGATTGTCATCATCATCATTATTATTATTATTATTATAATCAACATCATCATCACCATCATCATCATCATTATTATCATTATTATTATTATTATCATTATTCATTAATTTTCTTTTTCGGCTTATTCTCTTTATTAATCAGGGTTTGCCACAGTGGAATGAACCGCCAACTTATCCAGCATATGTTTTATACAGCGGATGGCCTTCCAGCTGCAACCCAACACTGGGAACACCCATACACACTCATTCACACACATCCACTATGGCCATTTCAGCTTATTCAATTGACCTAGAGTGCCTGTCTTTGGACTGTTCGCGTGGGTTTCCTTCAGGTGCTCTGGTTTCCCCCAAACCAGAGCATCCGGAGGAAACCAACGTGAACACGGGGAGAACATGCACACTCCACATAGAAATGCCAACTGACCCAGCCAGGACCTGAACCAGTGACCTTTTTACTGTAAGGCGATCGTGCTATCCACAGTGACGCCCAGATGTATTTATGTATATTATTTAGTGAAATTAATTTTTTTTTTTTTTTTTTTGAAAGAGAGGAGAGAGTATGCCCACTTACCCATGTGGAGCACACTCAGCACTGCACAATGTTTTCAACAAGTATGGAGTACATAAAAGAAGATGTCTGGTAGATATGATAGAAAGGCACCATTTATAAATGAAAAGAATGACTATTATAGTTGTTGTCTCACCTCTGCTGAGCAGCTGTAGGTTGCGAACCTCCTCTCTGACCTGCAGCTGTAGGACCTGCTGCAGAACCTCCTGTCTCAGTGTCTCCTGGATGATCCCCATCCTTGCTAGTTTCTCTCCATTCAACCGCAGCAGCGCTCGACCTGCCAAAAGAGAAACCATGGGTCAAAAAGTCAGTGCCAGCTTCCCAAAGTATAGCAGGATGGGACAGAAAGGATTACATCTGGAGAATATTTGATCAGTAGCTTGAAATTGATTTACATTTGTTTAAATCCTTTCTGAATCCATCAAATAAATGTCACAAGTCTTGCCAACAGAACAAGCCGACCCAACAAAAGTTATTTCAAAGTCCTGCAGCTTCTTGAATATGATTTCAGAGACAGTATAGAATTTTACATCCTTACAGGCTAGACAGCTTTAGTTTTGCTACTTCTACAGGTTTGCTTAGCATTCACACTTTTAAGACTGAAAAACTAAAACATGGCAACAATGTGAAAAGAATGCAACAAAGAGCAAACTTTCTGACATATTTAGGCAATCTTTTAATTTCCAAACATAATAGACTGTAGGATAGGATAACCCTGCAGGCACAGGATGTCAACATGACGTCTTATTGACGTTGTACCCTAACATAATCCAACGTCGAGGGGAGTTGGATTTTCTTTGGAAATGAAAAGCGGTTTTACGCCAAAACCCAATCTAAAATCAACCTAAGATCAACCAGATATCCACTTCTAATCATGTTACATTTTGACATTTTGTGGACGTTACTATTACAGTATGACATGTATCAGACGTTGTATTTTGGTTACTTTCCAACTCAAACTAAAATCAACCAAATAGCAATGTATTTTGATGTCGTTATTGGCCATCAAAATAACATTGTCCTTAGACGCTGACTGGACGATAAATTTTGGTCACCTGACGTCATGACCTAAATTTAACATAATATTAACGTCTTATGGTCTTGTGTGCCTTGTGTGTATATATATATTAAGGGTGTAACGATATTTAAACTGAACCGGAAAATCGTGATACACCAACCAGAATACGTATCGCAAAACTCTCGTGACATACCGCGGTACTCTCATGCCCCTTGCTGCCCATTGTTGAGGTTGACGTCACTTGTCTCTAACTAATTGAACCAATTTAAACATCTTTATTATCACATTTGATTAAATTTTAGTAATGATGAGGTTTTGTTCTAAATATTATATTCTAAAGTTAATATTTTAGTGCACGTCATGTCATGTGACTTGAGTGAGCATCACACTGGTTACTACTGTACGCAGGATATCTGCTTCACATAGTACTGAGATTGCAGATCCCCCAGACACATTTAAGTCACCTGTGTGGGAAAATTTTGGTTTTCCAGTGGAGTACAGGAATGGAATTCGTGTCGTAGACAAAGCGCATGCCTATCTGTCTTAACTGTTAAACGAAACTTACTTATGAAAAACATTTAAAAAGTGTGGTAATTTCACAATGTGAGGGTTTAAGCAACAGAACTGCCAACAAAAGTGAGTTAATGTACAAAAGTGAAACCAAAATAATGCCAAAATATACAAAAAAGAGAGAAATATTTATACTAATAAAAATAGTATAATAAAGTAGCAAATTCAAACAAAAATTTGTTAAATTCGAGCAAGGGGGCAATAGTGAAGCCAAACAAAAGAAAGAAATATAACAAAACAATTCTAACTCATAAATAACCCCTCTTACCTTGCTAAATCTGATGAAAAGAAAAAAAGGCACCACGCGCCGCATTCTTCCCTATACTGAATAAAATAAAGATGACATTCACCTCTTACCTGATGTCTTTAACAATACATTTTCTATGTGTTTGCAAAATAGAAATTGTATGACATTTTCCCTATCCACCTTACACTGAGAAAAGAATGAACTTGAGGAGATATAGCTCAGTATTGTCGGAAAGGAGCGGAGCCAAAAAGTAACATACAAATCAATTGAAATAAAAATGTACAAACCTCACAAAATTTCCTAAAGTGGGCAAAAGTAATGCAAAAATTTTTTGCCCAAACGAAAGTGAAGCAAAAATAACAAAAATCATAATCATGTCAGAAAAATACACCAAAAACGAGATCAAAGGAAAAAGCGCTCTCTCCCGCTCTTCCTGACATGCTTTTCATATTCCCGCGCTACGTCGCCAAATGATGATAGATCGATCTCCTGACCAATCAGCTATCATGAAGGCGGACAAACAGAAATGACAGGCATCAGCTGTCGTGAAGGCGGACCTACATAAATGACCGGCACAGAGGGAGCGGGAGAGAGAGAGAAAGATCGGGAGGCAAACATACAGCCGGCTACAACCCTAACATTAGTTTCAGACACATCTGGAATGTATTTTACTGGTGAATATGTCATGTAAAAACACTTTACAAACACATTATATGTATATTTTTTCATTAATTTAAACGGAAACCTATCTATCTAAATGAAACCATAGATACTCAAAAATGAGCGTCTGTGTCTGCACAGAGATCAAGCCTCTCACCTGAGAATGTGGATATTATGGTGTTTTTGAAGAAGATCTTTCACTAGTCTACACTGCAGTTATTTATTTCATTTTAGTTTACTTAGTTAAGATGGCTGCACTAAAGACAACAGTTTTTTTCTGTCTAGTCTATATAGGAGGTATTTATTTAATTTTAGTTGTTTACTCGGGTATATCCTGACTGTCCTAAAAACGTGATGATAAAGTTAATAAAGAAAAAGTTTAGATGTTCTTGTATTAAGTGGATCTATTGTTCCTTAGCATTGCTGTTAACATGACGTCAACCCTAACCCCAGAGCAAACAGAAACCGAACCGTACCGAACCGAACCGTGGCTCCAAAACCGTGAACCGAACCGTGGCTTCAAAACCGTGAACCGAACCGTGCCTTTGGTGCATCGTTACACCCCTAATATATATATCTATATATATATATATACACACACACACACACACACACACACACACACACACACACACACACACACACACACACACACACACACACACACACACACACAAATACAACACAATATAAGTGTTAAAGTGTTACAGTTAACAGTGTTAAGGTTAAAGTAGAAACATTTACATGTACATTGAAACTTTGCAAGCAGAAAGCAGGTGACATGATCAGCCAAAACTCATCTCAAACAGCTTTTCCATTAGCAGAACTTACTAATATGGCCAAGGCGCTTATTGGATTGCTGTTCAAGTATTGCAGTCAAAATAAATAAATAAATAAACAAATAAATAAATAAATTCAGTGCAATACTCTTTTAAATGTATTTACTTAATTAAGTAAAAACACATTTAAAAGAGTATTGCACTGAGTTCTGCACTTTGCGTTTCCAAGTTTCATTCAAATTATTTCGGCCTTCAGAATCATCATTGGTCCACTATTTAAGATTGACAGCTGCTCTGCCCATCAGAGGAAGGGGAGTTGACGTCAATCCAATGTGACTCGGGACAATTTTGATTCATAATCTTTTTATTTTTTGATACACAGCCACATTAATTTCTTATTGTTTCTTATTCTTATTATTAGTTTTGAATTTCTTCATTATTTTTGGTTTTACTTTTTTTCTATCCATGGCCTCATATTGATCCTATAGTGTTTAGTGTCAGGCACACAACTAATAAAGACCATCATGTAAACATGCATTGATAATAACATTTTTTTTTATAAACATTAGATGCAACATTAAACTTTAATGTTCTTAACTAATAAGGAATAAAACCAAAAAGAACCATAGTAATGCCAAATAAAAAACAAAAAGTGATGCGCCATGAAGGGAATTCTTGGAAAGTCAATTGATGGTTATATAGTAAAGTGACTTACTGTTACCCAGCAACAGATTTTTACTGTAACAACTTGACTGATTTTACGCTTATATATTAATATACAGTGGAACTGAGAGTTTAGAAGATCACATCCCGTCACTGTCAGCGTCCTGTCCTTCAATAAAACTTCACAAAGCCGGATAAATTTATTGTCATTCAACCCGAATGTGCTTGCTCTAATTAGACGCATAAATCATCTCGTTCTCTCATACAATATAATCATCCATCCTCATTCTCACCTGGCAAACACACAGACAGTCCCTCGCAAGAACACCGAGCAGCCCAGTTTGCATAACCAAAGTCTATTTCGGGCCACATTAATGACTGTCTTCAATTTCCGCACATATTGCTTTGTGTAATGATAACTAATGAAATCTGGTTACGTCAGGCCTATTGCATGACCTTGAATGAGCTTATTGATTTGCGTGGTGTTGTCCAGGAACACAGGCCGGCGTAAATGAAACATAATGGCCTCAATAACGGCTGGCTGTGGCTCTGTTTGTCTGGTGATGTAGTGCAATTGGAGAGATGAGAGCTGTGTGGTTTGGGGCTGTTCAGGGATTGGATACAGGGATGATTACAGTTTTACAGATCATTTACAGAACTTGACTAGATGCCTCTTGAGGGAAACCTCTACCTGGTGTTTAATTACTTTCTCATAAGTGGGATTCACTTGCCGAAACTTTTATAGCTCAGATGTGGTGAACAAAGGATTGCTCATTTTGAGTTAGAACTTTAAAGGCAACTAGAAAAAAAGTGATGGAAAGTTTTCTTTTTTTATTGATATGGTCCAATTAACCCTTCTGTACTGTTGGGGATGTTGTCATCCACTCTAGGGAGATTTTGAGTCTTAATGTGGCCATAACTTTATCTGTGTTGCAGCTAGCAGAATGATTTTTTGTGACAAATTGTATTTTGACACATATTTTGATAAAATGCTATGAAATTTTTAAACTCAACAGTACACTGTGAGCAAATTTACTACCCTTTTGTTATGTTTGAAATGTAAAAATGTAAAAAAGCTGTAAAAATGCATCAGATAAATATTTTTAATTTTTTACTTCTATACAGCTTAAAGTGACATTTAAAGGCTTAACTAGGTTAATTGGGTTAACTAGGCAGGATAATTAGGCAAGTTATTCTATAAAAATGATTTGTTCTGTACACTATCGAAAAAAAAATAGCTTAAAGGAGCTAATAATTTTATCCTTAAAAGGGTGTTTAAAAATTGATAACTGCTTTTATTGTAGCCGAAATAAAACAAATAAAAAAATATATTATCAGAA